CTGAAGTGAAAACTCCAGGTTCTGTTTGTAACTGAGGATTTCCTGTGTGCCTTTCCCCAGCTCGAAGTGACGGCAAGAGGCAGCGGCGCACGGGCTGCGCGTCTTCAGAGAGCTTTGAGAGCAGCCCCTACACCGGAGCTGAAGAAATCCCCAGCCACCCGTGCCTTTGATCTCAGATAAAGGTCAACCTGTCTGGTAGAAAGTGTGATGGGAAACGCTACCACATCAGCCTTCGCTTTCTCTTCCTTACCCTGAAGTGATTCACTGTACGTGTCAGGGTACGCCTTCACCGTGGCACCCGTGGTGTTTGGCTCTTGCGAGCAGCTTTATTCATCTCACGCACCAGCTAAAGCCAGGGCCAGCAAGGTTTCATGAGAGCTGCTGAGAAACTGCCCATGGCACTTGTTATTACAGCAGTGTTCCATAGCTATTGTTGGATTTTTTTGGTTTGTTGGAGACTTTTTGAATTATAGAGTGGTTTAGATTGGAAAAAATCCTTTAAGGTCATTGAGTCCAGCCGTCAACCCAGCATTGCCAAGTCACCTTTAGACCAGTCCCTAAGTGCCACATCTACACACACATCTTTTAAATCCTTCCAGGGCTGGTGACTCAGCCAGCTCCCTGGGCAGCCTGTTCCAGTGCCTTCAGTGAAGAAATTTTTCCTGGTACCCAATCTGAATCTCCACTGGTGGAACTTGAGGCCATTTCCTCTTGCCTTGTAGTATATATAGGCCTAGTGGTGTGTTAAAAAGTTAGTTATGCTGGTCTTGTCCCAACAAGCACTGGGAGTTTCTGAGACTGTTCAAGCACTGACAGCTACAAAGTTCCACCTGACACAAACTCAAAGTTGCTGACACACAAAGCTTTGGGGAGCTGCAGGTTCCAGTTGGTTCTCCTAACACCACCTCTGCAAGATCATCGCTGGTGGGGGAAGTACCTGACTTCCAAATGCTACAGGTAAGACTGGCACAACAATTTGGTTCATAATTTCGTTATAAATGCTGATGGGAGGGGGGGTTTAGTTGCCTTTGAATTCCTCTGTAACCTTAGATAGGTTATTGCAGCTGTGATGATTGGTTATGAAGTGACAAGGAACTTGCAAAAAGGGAAAAACTTTCTCTGCTGAGTCTCCTCAAAGCCCTGTTGGCTTTGTGGCTGGGCCTGAGTGTGTGTCCTCCTTCTGGACTGGGATCTGTGTCTTAGCCAGGGCTAAGAGATGCTGCTTAGGGAGAGACAGAATAATATTCCCAGGTGGGATGCACCGTGGAAATAGCTGTTACTGACAGTGGGAGGATCACAGTTTATCCAGTGCATCTTTACAAAGGTCAGTTAAGCCACCTAGAGATAAAAGTTACTTTAAGGTGTGGATTAGAAAGAAAACCAAATAAAAAAGCTGAGGATGGATTGTGCTTTCATTCTGTCCAACACACCTTTTGGTACTCAGGCTGCCATGAGGGAGAAGCAGCATCTGCAGAAGGTGGGGATGGATTATCTCCAGTAATCTCAGATCCTCAAAGTGAAAGTGGAAACAGGGATTGGGTCACTACTCTTGGCCATCACTCAGTCTCTTGAACCCCATTCTGGCATGTTTTTCTGAAGGATTTGCATCAGGCATAGAGGACTGGTCTCTACTGACTCGATGTCAGCTGGGCCACCTCTAGAGGATGGTTTGGAGATAGAAAAGAACTTGGTTGCATCAGATTCCTGCCTGTGCATCAATCTTCAAATTAAGGCTGTGCCAGGATGTAGCCATAAATGCCAGTTCATTCTCCAGAATGTAGCTCTCATTTTTCTAATCAGAACTTCTCACTGCTATAATTTCCAGGGATAATCCAGTGAGATGGACTTGTGTGAGGTGCAGGAATGTTTGCTTGAGCCTATGGAGAGCCTTTGGATATTGCTGGAGGGTTTTCCCTTCTTTCAGTGAAGTATTAATTCAGGTGCCAGGTGATAGTGAACACCTGCCAGTACTCTTGGTTATTTGACTGACCCATTTAAGCCCAGTATTATGTTTCTAAAATCAAGCTCTTACACTTGGCATGGTTTTGGTTTTTTAAGGTGATGCTGGCTTTAGAGATGTGAAAAGAGAGGTGTTGAGGTGTTTTTATGGTAATATCCTAGGAAAAGTGCATATGGACTTCTGTGAGAAGACAGCCCTGCTACCTCCAAAGGCTCTAAGATTAACTTGCACCACCACTAAGACTGCTCTGTAGGAGTAATTGTTTTTTGAGGTTTTTTTCATTTTCTTAGCCATTTTGGTTCTTCAGTTGGATTTTTTGTTTGTTTGGACTCTTTATAGGTTCCAAAGTTTTCAGATGGATTTCACTGAAAATGGTCTTGTACTTTGTGCTCGAGGTGTGCACGAGGTGTGCCTGCTTTTGGTGAACAACCGCATTTTCTAAACCCCACAGCAGTATTAATGCTGATTTGGAATGCTTTTATTCCACACCAAGGATTTCTGTGCCATTGTTTGTCCTTTGAGCCTCTGTCACTGGAGAATGGTATTAATGGTCTGTATCAGCAATCTGTTCATTACAAACTCAGAAGTATCACAAGTCATACTATCACTAGTACTAGATTCTAGTATTCAGTGTAGAACCTCTAATGTGCACACATTTGATTTCATAGAGAAACGGGTGGTTCAGGTAAAGGTTGTGCATAATGATGAAAATTTCAGAAATGCAGTTTAGGTGATTTCTTTCTGAGCTTAGTGAAGTTTAATGAAAAACAATGGTGCTACATCCATGAGGGTGAGCTGGGTGCACAGACTGTCACCAAGTACCACCTCTGTGGTACAATCCTGTTTGGAGGGATTGTTTGCTTTTGGATGAATGTTCCTGCAAAACAGCTCCACATATCCTTAGCACATACTTCTTTTCTTTGGGGTAAAAGGTAGGAGAATGTTGTTTTGGTTTGTTTTGTGAAAGATTGTTAATATGATAGATAGATAGTATGCTTCAGATAAACTTAAGGCTGAGTGGTGTTTAGCCAAATCTCAACTACTCCAATACTTTACATGTTGTTATGAAATAATTCTCAGAATTTGGATGTGCTTTACATCACTTTCCCATGTTCTTTTGGTGGCCTGTTAAAATATTCCACTCACAGAAAAACCAAACCAAACCCCCAAAAATCTTACATCAAAGATAATATCTGGCCATAAAACTACAGGTTTGGAAAGCATCTCTGCATCTCTGGCACCATGGCAGAGATGCAGTGGTGAGCTTTGGACAGGACCTTGCCGAGGCAGGGCTGGAAAGGCAGGAGAGAGTCAGCCGGGTCAATAACCCGTATCGTCTCTGGTGCTGCAGTGCCAGCCGTAAAACAGTGGGAAGAAGCTTCCTATCTTCCTATCTCATGGCAGGATGACAAGAGGGAATGCTTCTCTCGGGTCCTCAGCTGCTCCTGCAATAGATTGAAAGAAGCAGAAGATAACTCGTGAATATAAACGAAGGGCTGTTCCACCTGGCTTGAAGGGCGCTGACGGTAAAACACAGACTAGAATCTCTCTGTAACGCTGTCGGAGGAGCGTGGCAGAACTTCAGCCCTGCAGCAGAGCCCAGTGCCCGGCGGTCGGGGGCAGCGTGTGGGACCGGCCAGCTCTGAGCTCCGCCGGGCCGAGACCCCGGGGCGCTCCCTCTGCCGGTGGGGCCACGGGGCCGGGAGGAGCCGCAGCTCCGGGACAGCGCGGGGCCGGGGCCGGAGAGGGGCAGGTCCTTCCTCTTAGGCAAAAAAAAAGCCTCCCTCCTTCCTTCCTTCCCTCCCTCCCTCCTTCCTTCCTTCCTTCCTTCCCTGGCGGCCCGCGGGAGCGGCGGTGCCCGCGCGGGAGCGGCTCCCGGCGGGAGGGCGGGGAATCCACGCCGGGATTTCGGAGGCACACTGACATCAGGGGGGCGCGGCCGGCGGCGGGCGGGGGCTGCGCGCTGAAAGGCGGCGAGGCGCGGCCCGAGTCACTCCGGAACGGCGGCGGGGCAGCGCGGAGCGGCTGCCGGCACTGCCCGGGCTGGATCCGCGCCGCCAATGTGCCGCGGGAGGCGGGCGCTCACCCCGGCCCTAGGTAAGCCCGGGCGGCGCTCGCCGCTCCGCACACCCCCCTCCCGCCGGGTCAGGTGCGGGCGGGCGGCCGGGGCTCCCCGCGCCGCGCTGGGGGCGGCCGCGCTGCGAGGCGTGCGGGAGGTGCGGGCGAGCCGCGCTCGCTGCTCCGCGGGGCAGCGGGCGGGAGAGCCGGGGCTCGGCTCCCCGGGCCGGCAGCGCTGAGCTGGGCGCGATTCGCTGCTCACGGAGAAGCTCCGGGCCGGTACTCGTCCGTCCCCGCCCGACGCGGGGTCTCCGGCGCGTCGGAGCTTTGCGCGACCCTGTCGAGCCTGCGGAGAC